TACTATGCAGTTGTTTATCTCTTCTGTAATGGCAGCGCGCTGTCATGAGGTGGGATATCCAGAATCTATGAGGTTATGCAATGCTATCTATTTTTATTTTCTTTTGAATAAATACTGGACTTTTCAGAATGTTTTTAACCCTTGGTTACAGTAAAAAAAAAAAAGAAGCATTTTTTGAAAGTGTAGATCTCTGATTTGTAGAAAGACGGATAGCAGGCAAGAAGTCAGCTTCACAGCGTTAAAGGTAAGAAAACTCTCTCTTTTTAGACTGATGCTATAAAGATTTAATTAGGGAACCACAAGGTAGAGGAAATTATACTAATTAAAAACATTTATTATAAATAGCAACTAACTGTTGGTTTTCATGATATGTTTATTTGTGTAATAACTTATTTGACTGCTTTTTGTGTAGTGGTGCAGTTATAATTTGAAGATAATGTGTTGACTTTATCATGTAAAGGGTCATCAATAACTAAACTGTTCTTCTTTAAGCAGGATAGTCAAAAAAGAAAGAGAAAACACCGACATACACATCCAAGCAATGTCTCAAGCTCCAGTAAGTCATTCTGAGTTTACATTTTTCATATGAAGAACCATAGTTTTGGTCCACATTAGGCATCAAAAAGGGTTTACATATATTCAGTGGTGCCAACTAATTGATGGATTTTTCATTTTTGTTCTCTTACAGATGGATATCAGTAATGTGGATGGACAATTTTGTGAAGGTCAGCAGCATGTGGAGAACAGAGACCTGGATCAGCTGAATATCTCTGAGAAACCAGTACATCGCTGTGACCACTGTGGAAAGGGTTTTAAGAGATCTCAATGTCTGAAAAGACACCTGCTTATCCACACCGGCGAAAAGCCTTTCCTCTGCCATCTGTGTGGGAAGCAATTCAGGCAAAGTGGACATTTGAATCGCCATTTGTCCATTCACAGCGGCGTAAAGCCTTTCCTCTGCCTTCACTGTGGGAAGCAATTCCAGCTGAAAGGAGATTTGAATCGCCATATATACAGTCACACCGGCGAGAAGCCTTTCGTCTGCCATCTGTGTCGGAAGCAATTCAGGCAGAGTGGACATTTGAATCGCCATTTGTCCATTCACCATGGCGAGAAGCCTTTCGTCTGCCATCAGTGTGGGAAAAGCTTTGGTCGTAAATCTTCTCTGAAAACCCATCTACATGTCCACACCAGAGTCCCTACATGTGCAGGAGATGTGGAAAAAGCTTCAGACCATTGAAATCTGTGCAACATCATCTGGATATTGACTCAAGAGAAGAAAATCCTACCATAGCAGACGCCTCACTTTCTGTTTGGTTCTCAGGCTTCTCCTTATCTGAGACCAAAGCTTAACATCTTTAATAAAATTCACTTGCATTCAAAGATTTTTATATTTCTTCCCTTTGCAGCTATAGTTCTGATAAAAACTTTAAAATGAGTTCATATTCCTCCATTTTTAGCTTCCTTTTAATGGCTTCCTGTTAAATCCAGAATTACAATGACCAGATGGTGGAAGACCCAGATTCAACCGGAGCAAGAGACATTTAAATAGTTTATTGGAATTGTAAGTGCCTTTGAATTCTTGTTAAAATTAATCATTCATAATTTATGTTGTTGTTTAGGTAAAACTTTAAATGAGTAAATTCATGGACGTGTTATAAGATAAAATACGGGTTAATTTTATAATTTATTTCATAAGTTTGCTCTTTTCTGCACTTTTATGTTTAGCCAGGAACCAATGTTCATA